CACCTCGTCCCTCTTACAACCAATCAAACACTTCCACCTGTAGGCTCGGGGTAGTTCTCTAATCATCACTCAATGTTCTCTGTATATCTGTGGAGTGATGAGGCCGAGCCTGGACGCTATGTGCTGCTTCTAATACCCATATGAGAAACGTGTGAGCTGTCTGAACTCCCAACGTGTGCATCTCCCCCAGGGGTCTGAGGGGCTTGATGAGGGGAAACGTTTGGTGACCGCCTGCCTTCTGCTCACGGGCATCATCCACGAACTTAACGCACCAAAGTGCAAATACGCTTCTGTCGTTTTCAAAAATCTTTCTTGAACTTCATTTCCTCAGGATTTCTCTTGGATGAGTTGTCTTTAATAGAAAGGTTTATTTTGTGTATGTTTTATAGAGTTTTATACTTTGCTGTTTCGATTCTTTTTGTCTCCCTTTATTTCTCCGAGAGGACTCATTGTTCTTAACGTCTGACCTGAGGCGCTTCCTTGTTGTTGTTGGTTTTAATTTGTGCTTTTTGAGCCGCACCCGCTGTATAAATAAAGCTTTATTATTATTGTTGTTGTTGTGTTTGCTGCCCTGCACCTCACAAACTCAATGAACACATTTGTATTTCAACTTCTATATTTTCTACTTTTTTAATGCTGTTTTATTTTGAGATGATTAAATATTAGGATTGTTTATTTCTAGTCTTTTAATTTCTCTAATGTACAATGCCTTGTCTTTCTATGCTGCTGGGGATCAATAACACACACACACACACACACACACACACACACACACACACACACACACACACACACACACACACACACACACACACACACACACACACACACACACACACACCTTTAGAAAGCACTTTAATGCATATTCCAGTTTTTTAAATATGTGATTCACTTGATATTTAAATGTGTTTGAATTCTTCTTTTTAATACACATTTTATATAATTGAATATATTTGTTCCATATATTTATATTTCTAATTTACACTTTCTTTTGGTCCTTTGAGTTTATTTTAATGCGAGTCATTTTGTACATTTAGTGATATTTTTTACTTTTTCTTGTAGTATTTCTTGTATTTAGTTGTTGTACTTGTACTTATATCTGAGTACATGTTCCACCTCTGAGTGTTTTAATATTCTACATTACAGTTAAATCAAACTGTATATAAAAACATGGTTTCATGAATACCTCCACTCTACGTTTATTTTGATACCAATAATTGTGTACTTCTACTAAAGTCCTATTTTCAATTTAAGTATTTTATTTGTAATATTTTGAGTTAATATTCCACATGATATTTAAAGTGAAATCAAAAGTTCATTAATATCTCCAGACCCACTCGTCTCCTCTGGTACTCTCAGTTTATTTTGATGCCAATAATTGTGTACTTTTAAATGTAAGGTTTTTGTTTGTGTGCTTTCCCTGCAGTCTGAGTATTCCACACGATATTTAGAGTTCAATCAAACTGTACATAAAGTTTAATGAATACTTCCAGTCTCACTTTATTTTGATGCCGTTAATTGTGTAATTTAACTAAAGTAATATTGTATTTGTAGTATCTTTACCATTTAGTTCTGAGACGTTCCCTGCAGTCTGAGTCGTTTCTTTTAATTGAACTATTCATATCTCAGGTTAAGGTAAAGGCTCGATATATATCTGTGTCACAGAGTTCCCATAATGCACTAGGAGAACAACTACGTAAGGCAGTGTTCAGGTTCAGGTTCAGGTCCCAGGTTCTTTCTTTGTACCTGTAGGTAGATTTAGTTTGCAGAGAAAAAGACAAAGGATCCACTCTGACTCTAAGAACAAACACAACCAACAGACACATCTCTAATTAAAGGACTAGTGTCTCACAAACTGTGAAGTCCACTGAGACAATGTAACATTTGTGATATTGGGTTTATATAAATAAACATTGAAGAAGGAAAACACTAGTACAAACATGGACATTCAAAATACATAATTAAATAAATAAATAGGCATCTGTGTGACACTCCTATGATGTGTTCATTTGTGCGATAGCTGCTGGGATCAGAGTGTTTTTATACCGCTTCGTTCTGGGACGACTAACCCCCGGCCCGAAGGAGCAAGCTTCTGAGCGCAGAGGGTGGGAGTCATCGTCTAATATGGAGCTGGATAACCGCCGTCACTGCCTGAGGTACCGGGTCTCCAGGTTTATCACTGCCTGAGGTACCGGGTCTCCAGGTTTATCACTGCCTGAGGTACAGGGTCTCCAGGTTTATCACTGCCTGAGGTACAGGGTCTCCAGGTTTATCACTGCCTGAGGTACAGGGTCTCCAGGTTTATCACTGCCTGAGGTACAGGGTCTCCAGGTTTAGCTGTGACTGCCCTGTAACTTGTTTTCATGCGTTTGTTCATTTCATGTTTATTTTACTAACGTAGTATTTTAAATGTATGTATTTTATTTGTAGTATTTTATAGGAGACTTACCCTGCAGTTTTTATTTAATATTCCACATGATATTTAGAGTGAAATCAAAGTTGAATTCATATCTCCAGCCTCACCCGTCTCCTCCAGTCTGGTACTGTGAGTTTTACTTGATGGCAATAATTGTTTACTTTTATTAAAGTTATGTTTTAAATGTAGGTTTTTTATTTGTATGCTTTTACTGCAGTTTGAGTTGCTTTTGGTTAAATCAACTGCAGATACAGTTGAATGAATATCTTCAGTCTGCTACTCTCAGTTTATTTTAATGCCAATAATTGCGTACTTCTACTAAAGTCATATTTTTTATTTAAGTTTTGTATTTGTAGTATTTTTAACATTTAGTGCTGAGACTTTTCCTGCAGTCTGAGTAGTTTCAGAGTTAAATCAAATGTTAATGAATATCTCCAGTCTGCTACTCTCTGGTGCCAATCATGTTGTCCTTATACCGAAGTTAGTATGAGTAGTTTTGTTGTTAATAATTCACATGATATTTAAATGAAATGTTGAATTAATATCTCCACACTCACCCGTCTCCTCCAGTCTCGTGTGCCCGTGCGCGCCCCCGTGCCCCGCGTGCTGGTATCCCAGGTAAGCCCCGGGGTGGTGCGCGTTAACGTTGCTGTGGTACGGTGGGTAACCGAGCGGTCTCCCGTACGAGGACGCGCCCGAGGAGGAGGAGAAGGGCCCCTCGTGTTGCGGGGGCCCCACCAGCGCGTGCACAGGGTAATGTCCGTGCGCGTGGCCGTGGGGAGGCTGCTGGTGCCCCGAGTAACCCCCGAACTCTAGGAACGCGGATTTGGAGGGATCCGGCGGGACCAAAGTGTCCGATAATGAGCTCATAGTCATCATATGGGTCGGGGGTGGGAAACAAGAAATGCGTTGGTCATCACACAGGAACACAGCATCAGAGGGAAGAGTTCACAGACATTCAGAGAGCAACAAATCCCCTTGAAATACCGAAATCAGAAATAATCCTCTGGATGAAAAGGAAGATTTACAGGAGCTCCACCCGACACATCCCGGCTCAAGTGTCCGGGAAGAGGCGCTCAGAGGCCGGCAGGAGGAGGACGAGCAGCCGCTGGAGGAGAAACAAGAAAGGTTCCAAGAAAAAGTAAAAAAAACTGATTTTAAATCCTAAAAATTCTTCTCTTCTCCCAGTGTGTGTGTGTGTGTGTGCTGAGTGGATGTGAGGAGTGTGTTGCTGCTCTCCTCTGCACGGTGTGTGTGTCACCTCTCTGCCTCCAAACACACACTCACACACACTCTCACACACACGCAGCGCGCTCATTGGCTGGAGGCTCCGCATGTCATCACAAAGATTTAATGCACACTTGAATGCGGCTGCGAAGGGACGAGTTTAATTATGAAGATGATTTAATGCACAACAAGAGCAGATCCCTCTCATCTCAGCGGCGGAAATAATGACTCATTCATTATTAAAGACACATTAAATGATGATATAAGAATAGCATCTCATTGCATTAAAAGAACAATTAAGTCACACACAACCGCATTAAGATGATATCAAATACAAGCATATAACTGCATTAAAATAACGTAAACAAGAAAAACAATTGCACTCAAATACAAATTAAATAATGACATAAAACTGCAATTTATTTTTGATGTAATCCTAATATAAATGTCCACAGTCATCTGAAAGCACAACGAGGTAAATGGCTTCATGGTGTTTTCATATATGGAACAAGTTTGCAAAAATATTAGAATTCATTTAAAATAAAAACAGAGAAATGATTGGATGAATGCACGTCATCTATTTCTCGCTTCAAATTATATAAATATTCATCATTTTAGGCGTCATGCGAACAGATCATTGTTTTTAAATATATTTTAAATAAATATGATTTTAGTTTATTTTGTATCCAAGTTTCAGCAGGGCTTCATAAACACACACACACACACACACACACCGTTCTGCTAAAGAGACTAAGCGATATGACTCTGAATAACTTTATAATAACTTCTGCACTGCTCTTCGTTATAGGGCTGGAAGTACTCACATCCTTTACTTAAGGAAAAGTAGAAACACATTATTCTTCAAATACTACAACTAAAAGTCTTCATTTCAAAATGTTACTCATGCTGCACAATGAACCGTGTCAGAGTTACATTAATGAGTAAATGTACTTCAAGTATGAAAAGTAGAAGTACTTTATGTTTTGCAGAATAGATCTCTTTTTACTGTATTATATGATCCTGTTTTTATCACGTAAGCAAATGCACTGACACGCTGAGCCGTTGCCTTTAATTAAAGGTATTATGTCTCCAACACATCTCAAGCAATAGATCATGTATTGAGAGAATGCATTTAATTGAAGTCAGCGTCATTGTGTCAGAGCATGTTAGTATTCATACTGTATATATTAGAAGTACTGCATCAGTCCAAAGTGAGTCTGGTGCCAGGACCATTATCTAATAAATCATATTCCAATCACTTGTAGACTCTCCTTGCACTATTCTATTCTATTCTATTGAATTGTATTTACTTGCACTCTTGTATCTGTGTTATTGTGTTCTCTGTTGGAGGAGCCTCAGATGTTCATTCACATATCTGCACTGTAGCTCTGAACACAAGAAAAGCCTTGAATGTTGAAGAGCTTATTTGAAATGCATTTAGCAGCAGACTCTCTTTCTGCTCCTCGTTAGCTGACGAGCAGACATTATATCATTCTTAACGAGACGGAGGCTGGGCATCTCGTCGTCCTGCAGACTGCAGGAGAAGTGATTTGAGCGGTGGCGAGGGGACGGGAGATGTTCCGGCTTGTTCCTGGTTCCTCTTGTGATTCCAGCGGGGAGAAGTGTGCACTTATTACCATCAGATGCTGCTTTCATCCGCAGCCAACATTCCTCCTGCTGAGCCCAATCACACCCTCATGCTTTCATTCAGACAGAGAGGCAAGAGTACTTTACTCAAGTAGAAGGACACATACTCTGTTTAAAGATACTGACTAATCTTCTTAACTCAAGTAAAAGTCAAGAGGCTTTGAACTGGACTGAAGTCAAATGTAAATGTTCAACATGTGAGAAGTAGAAAGTACAGGTATTTGTGTTCAACATGTAAGAAGTAGAAAGTACAGGTATTTGTGTTCAACATGTAAGAAGTAGAAAGTACAGGTATTTGAGTTCAACATGTAAGAGAAGTAGAAAGTACAGGTATTTGTGTTCAACATGTAAGAAGTAGAAAGTACAGGTATTTGTGTTCAACATGTAAGAAGTAGAAAGTACAGGTATTTGAGTTCAACATGTAAGAAGTAGAAAGTACAGGTATTTGAGTTCAACATGTGAGAAGTAGAAAGTACAGGTATTTGTGTTCAACATGTAAGAAGTAGAAAGTACAGGTATTTGTGTTCAACATGTAAGAAGTAGAAAGTACAGGTATTTGTGTTCAACATGTGAGAAGTAGAAAGTACAGGTATTTGTGTTCAACATGTAAGAAG